AACTAAGCATCCGGTCCACATGCTCCTTGCTCCTGTCATTGATAAAGCAGAACCCAGCATCAGACAGTTAGAAATCATATGTGTTTGTGTAGTGTTTATGAAAGCAACAGAGAATGGACCCCACGTAAGAAGAATATGAGAAATCGGAATTCTGCTGCTGCCCCAACAGCCCTGGATTCTAAGGCATTTCCTGAGTTTAGTTTGTTTTCTGGTCCTGCTTCCAAGCAACCACAAAGTTCAGCAAGCTAATGGTGGTGATGACACCAAACACCATCTGCCTTTTACTGGACTTCGTTGCTATGGTACTGGATCTGCTTGTGGATCACCAGACCAAAGTGGTCCACCTCCAGGATGTGTGAGAGCTTGTTCAATGGGTCTGTTGGTAGGATCCGTGTGAACTGCTTGTAAAACTTTGTGGACTTGATTCTTAAGGCTGAACCTTTTCGTGGGCAGGGATGGCAGCATGCTCTTGGGACTGATCCCCAGGATCATCCCAACTCACTGACTACAGATGCCTGGTCAGAGCCCTTCTCTCAAGGGACCTCAGTAGCGTGTTCACAGGTGACCTTTGGTGGCACTGTCAGCAAGGCCAGCAGACTCAGTTCCTGAACTCTGAGGTGCCACTATGGCTTCTTCACCACAATGTTCCTCTTCTATGAAACCCTTTGATAGCATCCACCTGGTGCTTAGGAACTTGGGCATGTAGTTCCTCACAGAGCTGAACAAAATGACAGGCCCTCCTGCAGCTCCTGGTGGCTGTCATGGTGATGGACATGGTGATGCCCACAATACCACCACACAGTAGCCCTCCTGGGCAATCAGCATGGGGGAAAGGGCAAGGACTCCTTGTCGTTGCTTCTGAACTACTTGCCCATCACCATCCTGTCCAGCACCATGAGGATGAAGTCATAGTCAATCCCTCTACTTCACAGGCCATCTGCTCTGTCTGATTGAGCTTCCTGGTTCTGCAACGATGGGCCCCTTGAGATCCATCTCAATGGTTCTGCAGCCAGTACACTTCTCCTTGAGCTTTCTGGCAGTGCCCATGATGGTGCCGCCCATGTCCACTGAAGCCACCAGCATGTCCAATTTCCCATCATACTGCTGTAGTATCTCCTTAGTAGTGTTGTCTAGTGAGCTGCAGGTTGCTGGCGTTGCAGTACTGGTCTAATATGTGAGGATTAGGGATTTTATCCTTCAGTTACCACACCACCCCTACATGTGACTTGGGGGAGTAGTGTTGTCTAGTGAGCTGCAGGTTGCTGGCGTTGCAGTACTGGTCTAATATGTGAGGATTAGGGATTTTATCCTTCAGTTACCACACCACCCCTACATGTGACTTGGGGGAGTTAAACCTGGCATTGGTGGGCATCCTCACAATTCCTACCTCAGGACATACACCTCCATGCTCATCTTATCCAGCATCATGATGATGCAGCAATAGCCCCTTATGATGGCAGCCAGGGTCAGTCTGATCCCTGTGTTCCCAGACATTGGATCGACGATGGTATCCTTGGGTTTCAGATGGTATCCCCAGTATCCTGGCTCACTTAGCATCCTCGATCATCTCCATGCTCATCTGGTCCTTCACACTTCCACCCACATTGAAGAGCTCATACTTGGCCAAAAGGGTACTTCGAGCCAAAGTTCTTTCCAATCTTGTTGATTTTGATCATGAGGGTATCTCCAAGTTTCTTCAGGATATCTGGCAAAATTTTGGGAGATACTGACAAGGCTGCATGGTGATGCAGGGACTTGGTGACAGGACTGCACAGCTGTCAGGCCCATCTGGGGCACTGAGTCCTTTCATTTTTTAACTGAAAGGTTGGCAGTTTGAGGCCACCCAGAGGCATCTCAGAAGAAAGGCCTGGTGGTCTAATTCTGAAAAATCAGCCATTAAAAATCCTATGGAGCACAGCTCCACTGTGACACACATGGGGTCACCAGGAGTTGGAATCAACTCAATGGAAACTTTTTTTTTTTTTTAATGAATGGTAGATTAGCTCTGTGGGGCATTGGTAGTTCAGTGACAGAATTCTCACCTTCCATGTGGGAGACTCAGGTTCAAGTCCCAGCCAATGCACCTCATGTGTAGCCACCACTGATCTGTCAGTAGAGGTTTGCGTGTTGTTATGATGGCGAACAAGTTTCAGTGGAACTTTTAGACTAAGACTGACTCGGAAGAAAGGCCTGGTGATCTACTTCTGAAAATCAGCCTATGAGAACCCTATGGATCATAATGGTCTAATCTGCAACCCATTACGTGGATGGCTCAGGACACGGCAACATTTCATTTTGCTGTGCATGGGGTCGTCATGAGTCAGGGCAACAACAACAGCTAATAACAACAACAGACTCCCTCTACCTCCCCCTGTTGATCCAAATAGTTATTGCCTTAATTCCCAGACTCATACACTTGCACTCTGGGATTAATTCAGCACATTTCAGTTTTGCAAGAGGTACCTTTTATGAGGCTTTCTGAATATATCATGCTGACATGTTTTTCCTCTATGCCCAGGGAATTTAATTCCAGTTTAGCATCCAAAGATGCAGTTTCCCATGTGAGTTTTAAAAAGATGATTATCTCTGCAAGAAAACAAGAGTGAGACCTTGCCATATTTTTTATTTAAAATGTGACACCATTAAGGCCTGAACTGACATTGCACCTGTTTTGATACAAAGGTCTTCCTACACCCTTAAACCCTACCACTAGAAGTAGTGTATCTTTCTTTGGCTTGTCAAACTAAACCCAGCCACACAGCACAAGGTTCAGCACAGAATCTGGTCCACCCTTGGAGCAGCAGTATACATTTCAGAGACTTAGGACTCCATTTAACTCATGTGAGGATACCTAATTCTGATTTTTCTTAATACTAATATAATTTTGCTCACAGCATATCTGGATACACTTGATTATACCATAACCCACTGCTTACTTTAACCTTTAGGGTAAGGTGAACTAAAGACCGGCAAGCGACATTTAGCAGGGCTTAATCCTGGTCCAGAGAAGCCTCTACTTGAAACCCTAATAAACCAAGATCTTTGTAGCTCATCTTCTTTGCCCTATTCTAGAGAAAAGTAATGTTTTACCTAGATAAGAAATAGCACATTCTGAAGGATTTCTGGTGTATTTAATGTGGAAGTTAGGCCAAATACAAAAGGCTTACGAAGGGATAAATGCAAAGCAACCATCTCATAGCAATGAACTGCTAATCTATTGTAATTATAGTAAATAGTTAATGAATACATAATTAAAATGGTATCATATATCTTCCAATTATAGTTATTCAGGCACATGAATAAGTAGTATTCCTCAGATCTATTGTCTTCTTCTATGTGATTTTAGGCAATATGTTCAATACATCTAGTCATTGTAGCATAATTTCTTCATATTTATACTACAAAAGATACTCCGGTTCTAATTTGGAGGTCAAATGGGTGATTTTAGCACTGTCATATCCTAGATAAGTGGTTCATTTATTCTTTCTTGGAGTTGTTCAATGATATTTTGCTACTTGTGAAATCCATCATTGAAAGCCCTTTTATTTGATTTTATTTATTTATTTTATTTCATTTGATTTATTTATTTCATTTAATATTTTCATTTGTTGGATTTTCAGACTAGTTCTTTAACTAGTAAGTTAATAGAGGACGTAAAGCTAGAAAAATTACAATCAGTGCCTACTGTTTTGCAAACAGAAAATCCCCAAGTCCAAATATGGATGCGACATGAAAATCATAAACATTTGCAATGATAATTTGTAACTATAGTGACTAAAATTGGCACCCTTGCTTTCTTTTCACAGCATTCAATTGTGGCTTTCTTAATCTTTTTTCAAATGGGATTCTGCCAGCTTCCAACTGCAATGCACTGATTTTAATTTAGAAGAAAAGCTGCTACTTCCTTGGAAATCACTGGAATTTTTTACACCGCAGAGGAAAAAGAAGAGACCTGATTAGAACATCTCTCAGGAAAACTTCTCCACTACTGTCTGACCAAAAATTGGAGGGCTCAGATGAACTGTGGCAGCCTGAACACATCAAACTCTAGAACGTTTATACTATCATTATCAAATAATACTTATTAAATTCACATATATGCAAATAATAGTAATGGGAAATAAAATTAATAACTGATGTTACTAAACCCATTGCCGTCGAGTCTATTCTGATTCATAGAAACCCCATATGACAGAGCAGAACTTCCCTATAGGGTTTGCAAGGAGTGGCTGGTAGATTTTTAAGTGAGTGTTTATTAGTATCAGACTCTGCACTAAACTTTATATGCCTGATCTAAAATCTTTGCAACAATGCTCTGAGGTAGGCATTATTCATTTTCATTTAATAAATGAAGAAATGGTGACTTGAGAGGTTAAATAACTTGTCCAAGCTAACATAGCTAGTAAGAAACAGAAGGGAGGCTGACTAACATGCCCTTAAGATAAATTGAGGGGGGTTTACCTATAAAGAGATTAATGACAAAGGTGTGGGTAGGATGTAGGAGAATCACAGCAACAGTGCAGTAACCTAGGACTAGTAGAAGCAGAGTTGTTGCCACCCCGAGAGCCAAAGGGACCAGGGGCTGGAAAGAGAGAGTTGTATAGAGAAGGCAACCTGAAGAGAAGTGTTAGCCTTCAGTAAAAACAAACAAACAAACAAAAAAACCCACTGCTGTTGAGTCTATTCCGACTCATAGTAACCCTATATGACAGAGTAGAACTGTCCTATTTATAGGGTTTGCAAAGAGTAGCTGGTGGATTCAAACTCCTGACCTTTTGGTTAGCAGTGAGCTCTTAACCACCACACCACCAGGGCTCTTAACCGTCAGTAGAGGGACACAATCAACCTGAGGCAATCTTTCAGGGAGGGGGCCAGGAGATAAATACCCTGACTTCCTGCCCTCCCCTAACCTATCAGAGTTCCCCTGTTAGCTGAATGACTGGAAGCCAGAAGATATGGAAATCAGCCTCCTAGGGCAGAGAAGAAGGGTGGAGAATGGATCTGGGGTGGGAGGTGGGGCAAATGGAAGATAGCCAGCATAACCACAGATAACATAACAGAGGTTCAATAAATATGCTTTAAACTGAGATGCTTTCAACTTAGTGGGGAGAAAAAAGCATTACAAAGGCCATACAGATCTGTACAGCAGGCAAAAAGATAACGTGACAGTACAAGCAAATAAATATCAAAAATTCTCTGTATCCTATGATGAGAAAAATTATTAAAGACATAGCTCTATACACATATCTAAAACTGTTTCTCAAAAATGATTTCCTGGTATTGGATTGAAGCATTAATGGCCAAGCATATAATTTGCTCAGTCATTGTTGCTCACAGGTATGAATAATTATGAAGGGTTTAATAAAGAGGGAATTGTTCACAATAGCATTTGGTTTCTGATAGGCATGACATTGACTAATTTATTCTGAATGTGGGTGGCTCTCTATTTATTACTGTTATTATCATATACTGTTATTACTTATCTGAATTGCCATGCTTCCAGATTTCTCTCACATGTCAAAAGTTTAAATTTATTGATATTATAATAGACTACAGCATTTCACACAGTGTCAAGCACCAACGGATGACAAATATTTTCTGATTGATTTGATTGTTTAAAGAAATAAATGAATTACTTATTGACTTATATACACTTTGATCTTCACGGTAAAATTAGAATAAACTTACAGCTGGAGATTAGCATACTGAGTAGAATGTTCAAAAACATTTGGCATATTTAAGATTAAATCATACAGGGTATACTTATTAGATACCATCTTTCAAAATGTGAAAACTTCATGAAAATAGTCCTGAACTTGTTAGCACTTAGAACATAAAAATTAATTTCAAGTCTTGTAAGTATAATTTCATACACTGGGAAGAACTACTGTGATCTGTGAAAAGTCACAATAAGCCTATTTAAAAAAATGAGACAAATAGTATTCAGACTCAAAAGACTTAAGAACTCACTAAGTTAAGGGTATGGCCTGTGGAGTGAGATGTTTCAATCCTGGCTTCGATGCAGAAAAATTATATAAACTTTGAATCTAAGTTTTTCTATGTAAAATGTGTAGAATAATGCCTTCCTCACAGAGTTGTTAAATGAAATAAGAGAATATATGAAAGGTATTTACCACAGTGCCTAGCACATAAAGACCAGTCGACAATTGGGATTATTATCATTGCTGGGATTTCTTCCTAAGGCATAGATTACTTGGAACTTAGAAATACACGGTTTTCAATAGTGTTTTCTGTGAGATGAATGTATTGATATGCATTGTAATAGAAAACTAACATTCTTCTTTGGAATGACATAGAAATACAGATAAATGTAGCAACAGCAGTATAGCAGTAGTAGCAAAATAATCATAATAATTTAATAAGTTACATAAAAATAATATAGATATTATGGCTTTAGTTTTATAATGTTCCCATTTACTATACTTTCTGTGAAATACGTGTATTGTTCCTTGTCAGATGATGGATATGCATATATGAGAGGTGAGTGATTTATGACTTATAACTAATATCCACTCAGGATACTTCTTTAGTATGGCTAGTTAATCTTTAACAAGGTTGACCTTTGTTTATCGTCAAAAGCCAATGCTACCATTAACATTTATTTTTGAGACAAGGGTTGTTAAATGCTTAAAATGTCCTATGACTAAAAGTCGTAAAGTTCTCATTTGACTACACTTTCAGCAACCACATGTCTCGATTGTTCAGTTTAAACAGACACAAAGGAATGTGCATATTAGAGGGGAATATTTTATCTCTACTCCTGACTTCCATGGGAAGAAATTTTTCTAAGTGTATTACTGACCTTTCCTTTTATCTCTTTATTCTCTCTGTCCCCAAGATTGGCAAATTTGAGAAGGCTCAATCCTGCCCTTCTTCCTCTTGGGAACAAGCTGCCTCAGGGAGCAAGCTACCTCTGTTATTTTTCCAGGAGCAGATCTATCTGTCCCTTGAGATGAATGGCCTATTCTGGTTATATGTTGCCTATATCTAGATAGGTTCTCTGCCTAATTTTGGGTGATCTGTTAGCAAGTCCATTTGGCTCTCACACTAAGCTATATCCTCCATCTTGGCTTTTATAAAATATAAAGGTGATATTTTTTATTTCAATATGATAGTCTTTATTTTTCAGTTTGTTCAAAACATAGCCAAGGAAGACGGAAGCTATTTTCTTTCATATACTCTACATATATTGAAGGGTAAAGCACTTAGCTTTACCCAAATTAAGGTGGTCTTTGTTCTTGGTTCTGGAGAAATAACCCTTGGAGTGTTGGGGGCTCACTGGTCTGGGACTTCTAGGCCACACCTGAGGATTTGTGCTGCTGAATGGTGCTGACCAGATCAGAAAAGATTCACCTGGGAGGCCAATATCAATTAGCCTCAGGAGGCATTGTTTAGCCTATCATGAAGTACTGGCCAATAAAAGCCTGGAACATGAAGGCTCAGAAGGTTGATGAAGGGCGGGTGATGTGTCCTCTTTGGAATGTGGAAGCTTCACACTGGGAACCCTCCCAGACCTTGCCCATGCTGCTTTTTCTTATGATGATCCTGATTTGTATCCCTTTGCTATAATAAATCTATAATTTTACGTGTTGTACTCTCTGAGGGTTCTGTGAGGCATTCCATAGAATTATTGAACCCAAGGGAGAAAGGGGAGCCAGGAGGTGAAAGTGAGGGTGTCATGCTGACTCTCAAACTTGTGGCTGGTGTCTGCCTTATTTGACAGTCTGAAGGACAGTGTCCTTTTAACTTGTGAGATCTGTCCTAGCTCTGGATACCATGTGGGCAGTGGGAAAGTGGGGATTGTACCAATCTCCACACTTTGGGGACTGGATGCATGCTGATTCTTATCCGTGAAGTTATCCATGAATATTTGAAAGTTGATACCTTTCCTGAATTCTCTATCATGAAAAGCTTTGTGCTGATAGTAAATAAAACCCTCAAGCCCAACGGACTCCATCATTACCAGCTTTTAGAGCCTCCTCAATCCCCACTGTTTTTCTCTGGAGGAAATTCAAGCCACTTCTTAGCAATTTCAGAAAGCAGTTAGAAAACAAACAAACAAAAAACCACTTAGGCTATCATTTGGATTTTTCTAAATCTACTGTTGCTCCTGATGCTGAACTAAGCTGGGGAAAAACTCGAGTACTTTTACTGGGAGAAAGACAAACTTTTCTATATAAGAGTAGACAGATCTTCAAAGGTCATTTCATTTATGAACAACTCCTGATGAAATATACTATTAGACAACCTAGACAGTAGACAGGTAAATAATTCATCAAACGTGCTTATGATATTTTTGCATACACTTACCTCAGCTGTGTGCTTTGCCACATGCCCCACGATGACAATGACCTTCCCTTTGAAGCTCTGGAGCATAGTAGTGCAAGGGCCCTGGGTAAGCTCTCCTTCTGCTGTGAATGCAGTACTGAATGGAATATTGAAGCTGCCTGAAATGTGGCCACGAATAAAACTGAGAAGGAAAGTGTAAGGAAAACATTTATTTGTGTGTAGACTTGCGTGCATGAGAGAAACACAAAGAGGTACCATATTTTACGCAAATAATATGCATCTTCTAAGTTTGTTTGCCAACCGCACTGTCCCCCCGCCAGGTATTTTCATAAGTGCACTATGCTAATTTTTTTACAGCATAAAAATATGGCATAATTGATTTCCAGATGACAGTACTGCTGAACATCTTCCATGCTCAAGCACATGAGTATCTTATCTAAACGAAGTAAGGCACCTCTACGGGGGAAAAGATGTGAAAATGGAGTGAAAGGGAAAAGAAAATTAACGAAAGACCTACAGAAGACCCTGATTAAACAAGTCAATGGTATTCACATGGGTTGTGCGATAGTCACATTTTTTAGTTCATTGCTAGTACTATTATTATTCTAAAGCTCTAAAAGTGATACCAAAACCAAACCAGTTGCCGCTGAGTCAATTCCCACTCATAGGGACCGTATAGGACAGAGTAGAACTGCCCTGTAAAGTTTCCAAAGAGCAGTTGGTGGACTGGAACTGCTAACGTTTTGGTTAGCAGCCCAGCTCTTAACCACTACGACACTGGGCTCCAAAAGTGATACAGGCAAGTGGGTATTCTCAAGTCTAACTTGATACTGCAAGAGCCTATCCATTTTGGGAAAGTGATTGCTAATTGGGACTCTACATAGGATTGTTAGAGGTCATTAGTATTGGTTGCAAATACCCTTGTTTGTAGGTTTATTTCTCAAGTAAACTTAGCTGACATTTCCATTCTTTTCAGTTTTACATTCTCTGAAGGAGGAGATATTTTATTGCACTGCACTTTAGAAGGGTTCTGATGGTCTCATTGACTATTAATTACTTTTGATTTAGGAACTAAAGGCATTTATTAGCTTAAAAAGGTTCCGAGGCGGTGCAAGAAGTTTGTGGTCAACTACTCATCTAAAGGATTATAGCCGAGAAAACCCTATGGAGCAGTTCTATTTTGTAACTGACCCAAAATTGCCATGAGTCAGGACTGACTGGATGGCAACAGGTTTGGTTTTATTAGCTTAAAATAATTAGAAATATAAGATCTTAAAGAAAAAAAATGCCCCAGAGAGTAATTAAAATGTACAATTAAAAGAATGAAAACACAACTTTGGAAATAAACAAAAGACCATTCTTTATAAAAAGTCTAGAGAGGAAGACATTCTTAAATACCATTCATTAATGAAATTATTCTTTAAAAAGTAAACATAATACAAAAACTGAAGACTCTGAAAGAGAAGTATATGATTCTTTGATTGGATATATCAATTTGAGGAGGACAGGGAAGGTTCCCCTAAGAAAGTAATGGCTGAGTTAAAATTTGAAGAATTAATAATAGTTAACTGGGCAGAGGGATGGAATGGAGGTGGGGTAGGATGGTGAAAGGGATAAACATTTCAGACAGAAAAATTAGGCCTGTAGTGGGAAGTAACATGATCAATTAGAAATGAAGGAAGGACAGTGTCAGTGGAATTTAGAGAGCAAGGAGGAGCACGGGATAAGATAAGCCTGGAAATGGATGCAGAGCTCAGACCATGCAGAGCCTTGTTGACCATTTTGATGATATTCGTCTTTATGCTAAGAGCAATGGAAGTCAAGAAAGTGTTTGAAGCAGAGAGGTAACATATCAGATTTGCACTTTGATAACAACATGAAGAAAAGCTAGAAGGGGAGTAGATGGAAAGTGGATTAAAAGAAGTTCAGGCAACATCCCTTCCTTAACATCCACGAAGGGATGTTTGTATGTTCAATAGAGGCATTTTTTCTTAAACTTCCACTTTAGATAGGCTGTTTAAAAAATGGAAAAGTCATAGTTTTAAAAGGTTATGGCACATGCAGCTAAAACTCCCCCCAAAACACTCCAGTCATCAGCTGTAGAAGGGGGAAAATTATAATTATTGACTTGGCAGTTTCTCACTTGCCCCAGTTTGTAAACTCATCTTTTAGAATCCTACTTCTCTCTCTCTGTCTCATTCTTTGTCTGTCCGACTGTCTCTTTTGTTCTCTCTCATTAATGGTGACGTGAAAGAAGAAATTTGAGGGTTCCAGTCTAAAGAATGATGGTGGAAAATGAATACATATTTTACATTTTAAATTTTCTAGTCAGTGCCTACTTCATTTTTTCTTTAAAGAAAAATATTTGACATTAATAATGACATAAGTGATCATAAAAACTTCTGAAAAATGGAAGGAGATACTATCAACGTTAGCATTCCAGTGGACATTGTTTAGTTAGCGTCTTCTAGAATGGGCAGAGAATTTATAATCATGGGCAGATCACCTTTGAATCTCATTAGCACTGGTTTCTCAAACATTCAGTTATTTCCCATATTCTCTGTTGCAATTTTCATGAACAATAATGACTTTGTCCTCAGCACATAATTACGCTGATAGTACTTTTATTTTCATTGAAGAGCTATCTTCAAGATGAAAATGTTTGATACCACAAACTAAGAACGTAACAACCCAAATATTCTTAGCAAATGTATCTACATTTGTCAGGTCTGAATCAGTTGCCAGAGAGAATTTCTGTGTTTATCAATTGTTAACATTTTTCCTTTCTAGTTCTTTTACAGTACCAAAAGCAATACGAATCTATCCTAGTCATCATATGCTGTAGCAGACACGTTTGGGTTGTCTACCCAGTCCCTACTTGCTGGTTTGGAAGGGCCCTTAACCACCACCCCTGACGAAGCGGGGGGCCTAGGCTGTCATGTTGGTATCACACGACCCTGCTACAAGCCTGGCTGACTGGACAGTGGAGAAGCGGGAAGTAAAGGTGAATAGCTCATGCAAGCTGAACCAGTTAGATTGTCTCCTTTGAAAATCAGAAATAAAAAACTTAAAGACAATCCTTAGACTGTTTTACACTACAAAACCACATTTTAGTGCCTCCCGAATGCAATTTGTTCAGCCACATATGATTAGAAAATTAGAAGCACTGACTTTAGAAGTAAAATTGTTTATTTTACAAGATAAATAATGTGAATCTTTGGTTTCAAAAAAGTACCCATCTGTATCCAAATATACAATGCCTGCAACAAAAATCATAGCTAAGTATCTGGGTGATTTTGTTGGTTAAGTATCATCTATTTACTATGCGCTTTTAAAGAAAAATTTAGTTTAAACTGCCTTTTAGTCACTAGAAATATGTCATAAATTTGTTATCATCTTAGAATCTTCTGGTGATTGTGCTTTATAGCTTGATGTTAAAAAAATTCTAGCTTAAACGTTAAAATGCTTGACAAAATATTATGGTGACAGAATCTTTTTGGGAAGAGGAAAGTTTTACTCAAAATGCAAAACCATTCCAAACCTATTTTTGGCAATTTTGACACTATACTTCCTCTACTCTTATTCTAGTTCTTATTCAATCAAAAAATCCTGGAAAACAACCAAAAACACTCATTCAAGAACACTCTTCCAAAAATACTCTTGCCATAAAACTTCTAGCCTAAGCAAGACTGGGTACAAATGAATTCTTGTAGACAAGGTGGCCAAACTTCCAATCTTTTCTGCTTAACTGCACTACTGGCCCAAGAGAGGAAGAATGAGGTTGGCCTAATTATGTAATAGAATATTTATAATGAACATTCTTTTTTATTTAAATAGGTTAGACAACACAGACAGTTTAGTTATTTAAGGATCTTGTTTCATTGGTAATTATTTAACAGCTTACAATACAAATTCTCATGTGATTCAGCCATCATAATATGAAGTAGAACTTGTTTAGGCAATTTATAAAAATCTGAGAGGCTGTTACATTATACTGAAAAGGTAGGTAGCTGAATACTTGTTCCACTTTTTGACTCTTTCAAAATCACAATTAAATACTAAGTATTTGAAAAATGAGCAAAGTACAGATTTCAGTATATTTTGTATTACTCGGACAGAATGATAATTGAAGAGTGAAACAGAAGATAATTTCGGACATGTAGTGACTCTGAGTGACCAAAGTCAACAGTGATCAACTCTTGGCCAAATCCGGTAAAAAGAGAAAAACGAAAGAGCATGAGGTAAGATAAGCACTTTCTTAATGCCCTGAGGACTTTAATTTTATTTCATTGTACTGCAGTGAAGGACAGGTATATACAGGCTCTGCGTACTGTAGTAGTGTTACAGATGAACATGCAACCATACAAATTTTAAGATTATGACTGTCACTTCATTGCTTTCCTTATATTCTGAGTTCTGAATCAAAACAAACATCTGAATTATCTATATTCACCTTTTGCATTTAAAAAAGTCATTGCTTGTCAGCATAAACATAGTTACGGGGTAAACGTGATCTACACTTAAAGAGCTTCTACACTAAGTGTAGTGTGGAATTGCCAGACACTATGCTAACTTAAAAACTAGGAATTAAAAAAGAGACAGCTTCAAAGTACTTAGTTTACAGACTATTAAGGCAACAGAGGCCAAAGTATTTATGTTGTAATTCTGCCCCAATCATATATACATCTTGACAGTGTAATTCTAACAATGCCCACCAAAGTTTTCACTTTGGTATTAGCAGAAGTGGCAATGGCACCCATAAGCACTAATTTTTAACCTTCCAATGCTTATAAGACATTTTCAATATTAGGATTTTTGATGATATACTTGAAGGAATTATAAGATAAAACACACGATCAAAGATGTTGGCAGTAATTACAATGGAATCTCTACTATGGAATAATAGTAGCTATAAAAGCATAGAAGTATCTAGTTATTGCAGCAGTCATTTGGCCAGGTATATGATTAGAGCCGTTTACTACTCTGATTGCACTCTGTGATATACTCCAGTTAACATATGATTTTTCTATGGCACCTGGTGATCTTCTACTATACATCTTACCCAGTTTTGCAGTAAGCTGTAATCCTCCCTGGTTCAACATTCCATAGGCAGACACTAACAAAAAGCAATCAAATGAGTGCTTATAGAAAAAATAAAATTACACATTAATCAAAATCTGA